AAAACAAACAAAAAAAAACCCTGGTTTACCTGAAAAAGAATTCAGGAGGTTAGTTATTAAGCTAATCAGGGAGGCACCAAAGAAAGGTGAAGCCCAGTGAAAGAAAATAATAAATATATAAATAAATACAACAGAATTGAAGGGAGAAATATTCAAGGAAATAGATAACATAAAGAAAAAAATGATCAAAACGTCAGGAAACATTGAACACACCTACAGAAATGCAAAATGCTCTGCAAAGTCTCAGCAATAGAATTGAACAAGTAGAAGAAAAACATTTGGAGCCTGCAGATAAGGTCTTTAAATTAATCCAATCCAACAAAGAAAAAGAAAAAAGATTAAGAAAATACGAACAAAGCTTCCAAGAAGTCTGGGATTATGTTAAATAACCAAATCTAACAATAATCAGTGTTCCCAAGGAAGAAGAGAATTGTAAAAGTTTGGAAAACATATTTGGGGGAATAATAGGGGAAAACTTCCCTGGCCTTGCTAGAGACCTAGACATCCAAATACAAGAAGCACAAAGAACACCTGGGAAATTCATTACAAAAAGATTATCACCTAGGCACATTGTCATCGGGTTATCTAAAATTAAACAAACAATAAAAGAATCTTAAGAGCTGTGAGACAAAAGCACCAGGTCACCTATAAAGGAAAACTTATCAGATAAACAGTATATTTCTCAGCAGAAACCCCACAGGCTAGAAGGGATTAGGGTCCTATCTTCAGGTTCCTCAAACAAATCAATTATCAGCCAAGATTTTGTATCCAGCAAAACTAAGCATCATATATGAAGGAACATACAGTCTTTTTCAGACAAAAAAAAAAAAAAAATGAGAGAATGTGCCACTACCAAGCCACCACTACAAGAACTGCTAAAAGGAGCTCTAAATCTTGAAACAAACTCAGGAGACACATAAAAACAGAAACTCTTTAAAACATAAATCAGTCACACAGGACCTATGAAACAAAAATACAATTTAAAAAGCAAAAACAAAACAAAACAACAACAACAACAACAAAAAGGCACATAGGCAACAAATAGAACTATGAATGAAATGGCACCTCAATACTAACATTCAATGTAAATGGCCTAAATGCCTCACTTAAAAAATACAAAAATGCAGAACGGATATGAAGTCACCAACCATCTGCTGCCTTTAGGAAACTCATCTAACACATAAGGACTCACAGAAATTTAAAGTCAAGGGGTGGAAAAAGGCATTTCATGCAAATGGAAACCAAAAATGAGTAGAAGCTATTCTTATATCAGACGAAACAAGCTTGAAAGCAACAACAGTTAAAAGAGACATGGGGAGAAATGCCAGATATAGGTGAAGGGGAGGAAGGCAGCAAATCACACTGCCATATGTGTATCTATGAAACAATCTCGCATGTTCTTCACATGTACCCCAAACCTAAAATGCAATAAAAAAAAAATAAAAATAAAATAAAAAATTTAAAAAATAAAAAAGACAAAGAGGAGCATTATATAATGGTAAAAAGGCCTTGTCCAACAGGAAAATTATATAATTTATAATTTTCTACATATAGAATTTTTTATAATTTTCTTTATATATATATAAAACTATATACAATCCTAAACACATATGCACCTAACACTGGAGCTCCCAAATTTATAAAACAATTAGTAATAGACATAAGAAATGTGACAGACAGCAACACAATAATAGTGGGTGACTTCAATACTCCACTGACAGCACTAGACAGGTCATCAAGACAGAAAGTTAACAAAAAAACAATGGATTTAAACTATATCTTAGAACAAATAGACTTAACAGATATATACAGAATATTTCATCCAACAACCACAGATTACACGTTCTATTCAATAGTGCACGAAACTTTCTCTAAGATAGATGATACAATAGTTCATAAAACAAGCCTCAACAAATATAAGAAAATTGAAATTACAACAAGTACTCTTTCAGATCACAGTGGAATAAAACTGGAAATCAACTCCAAAGGAACCTTCAAAACCATGGAAATTAAACAATCTGCTCCTGAATGAGCATTGGGTGAAAAACGAAATCAAGAGGGAAATTTAAAAATTCTTCAAATTGATTGACAATAATAACACAACCTATAAAAAAATTCTGGGGTACAGCAAAGATGGTGCTAAGAGGAAAGTTCATAGCCCTAATACCAAAATCAGGAAAGGACATAACCAGAAAAAAAGCTACAGACTGTTATCGCTGGATGAACAAAAGTCCTAAAATCTTTAACAAAATACTAGCTAATTGAATCCAACAACATATAAAAAAGATAATCCACTGTGATAAAGTGGGTTTCGTACCTTTACTTGATGGATATGAAAGGGATGCAAGGATGATTTAACACATGCAAGTCATTAAATGTGATGCACCACATAAACAGAATTTTTAAAAATCACATGATCATCTCAATAGATGCAGAAAATGCATTCAACAAAATCCAACATACCTTTATGATTAAAACTCTCAGCCAAATTGGTATACAAGGGACATACTTCAATGTAATAAAAGCCATATATGACAAACCCACAGCCAACATAATACTGAATGTGGAAAAGTTGAAAGCATTCCCTCTGAGAAATGAAACAAGACAAGGATGCCCATTCTCACCACTCCTCTTCAACATAGTACTGGAAGTCCTAGCCAGAGCAATCAGACAAGAGCGAGAAATAAAAGGCATCCAAATCTATAAAGAGGAAGTCAAGCTGTCACTGTTTGCTGATGATAAGATTATTTACTTTGAAAACTGTAAAGACTCCTCCAGAAAGCTTTTAAAACTGATAAAAGAATTCAGCAAAGTTTCCGGATACAAGATTAATGTGCACGAATCAGTAGCTCTTCAATACACCAACAGTGACCAAGCAGATATTCAAATCAAGAACTCAATCCCTTTTACAATAGCTGCAAAAAAAAAATTAAATACTAATACTCGACAATTAATCTCTGACTTGGAAGA